TGCATTTGTAGACTTTCCCATATGCTCCTTCACCAATCACGTTGGTTTCAGAGAAGGAATTTGTCGCTATCTCTAGTTCATCCCTGGTGTACCTTCTATACCTCTTATCACTTGAGAGGAGCATATCAATAACTTTCTGCTTCTCTAAGGACTCTTTGAGGGCATTCAGTTCAGCAATCTTCCTTTCATACCCCTCTTTAGCTAGCAAATTCTTTGCCTCGTCAACCTCCTTTAGAGCTTCCACATATTTAGCTCTCTCTTCAGCAGCAATTTGCCTCAAAGTTTCTTCTCTCTGTAACGCAGAATTCACTCTTCGAGCTTCTTCCCCACATTCAGAAGAAAGTACTTGAACCTGAGAATTTGGTCACGAGAAATTGTCAAAAAATCAAGGGGAACGAGAGATCTTCCACATTTCCAAGATCAGATGATTTCTTCGACTTCGTGCCAGGTCCTTGAAGGCCATGTCATTTGCTCCTAATTCTGGTTCTCAAGAAACTTGCGATTTACAATCAACAGACAAGCATCCCAAGAATCCTGTCAATCATTCTGATTTTGATAATAACTTGAAGTTGACTGGGACAATAGCAAAATTTAAATGCAAGATCTTTATCATTTGTTTCGCAGTTTCATGTTTTCAAATGTTTGCATGGAACAAGTCCAGCTAAACTAATGAAACTACTCATAAGGTTTTAATTCTATTAAATGATTGACAAAAACCTTGTTTTGGGCATGGACCAGCTCTTCACAAGTCCGTTCATACATAGAAATTGTGTCTTCCAACTCCTGCCGCAGCTTCTCTATTTCGGCCTGCACATCTGACTGCAGAATGAACACTGCACATGAACCATTACTCTAGAAAATAAACCTTAAATAGTAAGATTTTCAGGGTTGGAAATACTTAAAAGGCCACCTGCTCTGTTGGTCTAGAAGCCATCAATGCGCTTCGATCGACAAAATGTATTTCATGTGCATCTCCTATATACAAATGTCTACCCTCTTGATCTTCATTAGCACTGTTGGAATAATATGTATGACCTGAAGCTAGTGCAGTCATAAAGCTAGGCTCTGATGGTGGAGATCCTCTGATGCTATCATTGAAGTCAGATTCTCCGCACAAAGAATTGGTACAGGATATTGGGTTACTAGATCCATCAAAAACATCTTCGTGGTTTGTTTGAGTCAACATACCATGACTAGATCCTTTATCTGTAGGAGGGAAGATCGGATTATCTTTCCACAGCAGTTTCTCTGGTAAACGAGTAGACAAATCATATAGGAATAAACTACCTGATTTGTTGACAATGTTGTTTCTAGATATAACATAAACGTCACAAGCTTCAGGAGCACATGTAAGGACAGTTGCAGGCACTGCTGCTCCCTTCAGTTTCCTAGCAAGATGAACATATTTTTAGGACTTAACCATAAAAGTGAGAGCAGATTTAACCTAAGGATGAAAAGGTGAGAAGACATGGGAAAATAAGTTCAGCAATAAATTACAATAAATTTCACATGAACGAATTACATGCTTACAGCGTGCCTCGCATGCACCCAAACACAAGTCCAAGCTTAGAGCAAACAGCTCTATAGGCTTCTGAGATAAGTCTCAATCTGATGAGATAATACCATGTGGATAGATAAAAAAAAACTCGAACAAAATGGTGTTAAGAGTTGCTTGACTCCGATTTATCTACTTCCTCGAAAATATGGAAATAAATAGTTCCATAAATGCATGTTTGGCAATGACACACTCTGATTAAGTCCAACATCCATAAACACCATAATTTTTTTTTTCTATGGAAACTGTAAGAATAGAGATCATCTTTCCTACCAAATAAGCACTTGTGGTACCTTACAAAAGTATTCGATGAGCAGGAACCCAGAACTAGATTATTTATTCCCAAGTTTGACACATATCGAAGGAGTGCAGCCGCAGGATCGTCATCTTCTAGCACCAAAGTTTCCACCTACCAAATGCATAACATCGAATTTTAAAAAATTTGCCGCCTTCAGCGATCTTCGCGAAATTCCATGGTATCACTATAGTCATACTTTCTTATTCTATTTCCTCAATTTCTCAGACTATCTTAAACAGCTTATCTCAATTCTAAATTCAGTTCAGATTTGTGAAAGCAGACATCCTAAATTTTCCAATAAAACTTACAACTGTCGGTTTCTCAGATAACATCGACTGAGCTCAGTACATCATTCCCACAATTAGAGCTCAGGTCATTCTCCATTCAACGTTAATTTCTAATCCTAACCAAAACAGAACACGAGCTGAGCCAAGCACAACTCACCTTCCAAGGTTTGCACAGCTTCTTAAACGGAACAAACACCTGCTCATACTTCACTTTCGTTTCCTCCACGTACATCGCCACCACATTCTCGTCCAATTCCGCCACCGGTATACGATCTCCGCCTGCGAGGAACACAGCATGGAATCGAAGTGATCGCGCGTTGACTCGGTCGATCAACATCGCAAGAGTCTACGGCTATAAGAATTGCAGCCAAAACAACATAAGGCGCGTATGAACGCGATGCGCGCGGTCGCGGAAACGTACTTGGAGTGGGGATTGCAGTGACTCTCGGCATCACGTGGACCAAGACGAACCGATCGGCTCTAGGCACGAGATTGTCGACGGCCCAACGGACGGCGCGGCGGCTTCCTCTTCCTCCTTCGAAGCCGCTCAAGTCGCCTTTCACCGCCACCGCCACCGCAGTCATCGCCGGCGGAGCGCGACGGTCGCCACCACCGGGGGTGCTCATTTCGCACCAATAGGCGGGCTCGTTTCGCTGTGGAGAGAAAGAGAGGGAGAGATAGAGGGAAGGAGGGAGGGAGGGAGGGAGAGAGGACATTGAAAGACCGATTTGACCTTAGTAGTTGAAGAAGCTGCTGTGTGAAAATGGGCCAGGAAGTACGAAACGGGCCTGTGATTTGGGCTTAATAAATGACGGGCCAATTAGGAACGATAAGGCCCAAACGAACGGCGCTTCCTTTTAGATAATTGTCTAAAAAGTCTTAAACTTATTATCCGACGGCCTATTCAGTCCTAAACTTTTCAATTGTGCCAAAGTAGTCCTCAACCTTTTGAAAATTTGTCAATTGAGTCATAAACCTTTTAATTGTGTCAATTTAATCGGAAGAATTATATTGGCAAATCGTCTAAAGGTTTATGACTAAAATTGACAAATCATCAAAAGGTTTAGAATTAAATTGGCACAACTAGAAAGTTTAGGGCTAAATTGGCAAATGGTCAAAAGGTTTAGGACTAAATTTTTACAATTGAAAGGTTATGACTGAATTGGTCTTAGTACAATAAGTTTATGACTTTTTGGAAAATTTTCCCGCTTGCTTTTGCATGCCAACATCAAAGTGAAGGTTCCTTATACACTGAAATAAAGCCTAAGATTTAGTTTTCCTTGAAGTATAGTATCGAGTGATTATTTCTCACTATTAAGAGTTCATTATTTGCCTGATCAGCGTTCATGATAACTTATTATTTGCCAGATCAGCGTTTATGATAACTTGAGTATTGGAAGTAAAGTTATTTATAATTTTACTACGAAAGGATAGATAGCCGTAGGATCACGTATCCTAACTTCCTAAGTTCATTCACTGCTTAGTTTATCATTCGCTGTTAAGAATTATGTAGTATGCACTTCACATCATTACGGGGAAAATTGTCAAAAAAGTCCAAAATTTATTGCATTTTTGCCAATTCAATCATAAATATCTCAATTTTGACAATTCAGCTATGTAAATTCAGTCCATCCGGCCAATTTTGGCTGGCCGACAATGACATGGACACCGATCGGCCGAATTTAAAATTGTTTTTGAACGAAAATTCTCTTGACCAGCTAGAATATTTAACCGGCTGACGAGGTCAGATCCTTATTTGAAACTGTCATGATCGCTTCAGGCTTTATTCAAGACTGACATGGTTAAGATTTTTGATGATTTTTACCCTTATTTTTAACTCTTGATGTGTTGGATTAAAACGGAAAAAAAAGTTCACTTGGACAAGGGCCCCGTTTGGTTCGGCATTTGGCGAATGCCATTGGGGGAATGCAAATACCTTTGGACTAAAGGACTTTGGGAAAATGCAAGACTGTTTGGTAAAATGTAACTGAAAAGTGCTTTGGGGAAATGCTAGACTGTTTGGTAAACATAAATTTAGAAAGCTCTTTGGTGTGACCAAATTAAATTTTTAATTTTAATATTTTTAAAATTGAAAAAAAGAAACAATGACCGTAACTTTGAGTTGGGCTTGACATTTTTCAGTCTTTTTATGTGCCTAATATCTATTTCAAAGATGTTATCTACTTTCTTCTTTCTATATATATTGCATTAAAATGATATCTTTAGTTTACATAGCTAGTGTGAATGTTATGTCGCACTTTTTCTGTAACTCAAAGGGGCTTTGGAAGCAAAGAACATGTCTGCAAATGATTTTCTTGGCATGCGCTACTGGTATCCCTTCACCAAGGAGGTAGTTTAGCAAGTTGTTGCCAATTCTTAAGAGGATGATATCTAACATTCTTGAGAGGTTGTCATTTCACAATAATAAATATGATCACATATGTCCGCAAAAAAGAAGCACGCTATCCTTAATATTACAAACCTCCTCAACGACTTTGTAAGCTCATGGCTATTTCATCACGTAAACGTGTCATGTCGGAAAATGCATTATTATTTGAAGCACTAACCCCCTCACTTGAATCATCATCGTCAACTGAATATCCATAATCGGGATCTAATTCTGCTTGTTCAAAATCCATATCAGTCACGGCATTTCTTCGTATATAATTGTGCAAAGTCATTGTCGCCACAACAATTTGCACTTGCTTTTCATATGGATAACTGGGCATACGAGTTAGAATTCCCCACTTCTGTTTTAATACTCCAAAGGCTCGCTCAATTGTTGAGCGTAGTGAGGAATGGGCACGATTGAATACTTCTCGATAACCCGTAGGCGAAGAACCTTCTCGAAATTCTGGTAAATGATATCTAACTTCTTTATATGGCCCCAAATAACCCATATGATTTGGATATCCAGCATCTACCAAGTAATATTTACCTACACCAATATATTGTAAATCTAATCAACATATGCCACATAGATATATGGATGTAACTAAACCATTAAATAACGAATCTGGAGGAGGATGGGGAAAATGTGTATCAGGTCTTCCAATGGCTTCATAGAAGATACGTGTATCATGAGCTTGTCCCTCCCAACCGGCCCATACATAGACAAATTCCATATTAAAATTACATATGGCTATCACATTTTGAGTCGTCATTCCTTTTCGACCAATAAAACGAATTTGATCGTACGTAGGTACCATCGCTGGGATATGTGTACCATCAATAGCTCCAATGCAATCCTTAAAATATGGAAAAAATCGTCGATCTTTCTTGATTTTCTCGGGAACTTCCCTATATTCTCGATCGATTGGCTGAATCAAATCTTTTCCCATATCACATACTTTATCTAAAACTAAGCTAAAGTACCTACTTATGGTTTCCCCGGAGCGCTGAAAGCGCTCTTGTGCTAACATGTTGCCTATACCGTGTCCCAAAATATGAAGAAACATACCAACCATTTCTGCAACATCAGTATTTCTAGACCCTTCAAGACCATAGCATGCTACTAAGTCACGGGTTAAATTATTAAATACAACCTTATGCATTCTAAACATATTATAGCACCTTATAGGATTCGCATCTTCGCCCATCAACTCTTTTAACCATGCATAACCTGTATAAGTTGAGGTCATGCAAGGTTGTCTGCAAAGGTATGTTGCTTGATAAAAAATTGCAACTCCTGTGATTGACACAAGATCCCAATAGTCATTTTCCTCTTGTTCACGATTTTCCCTTGCATGTGAATCATCCATAACTGTTTCAAATAACAAAATATAAAGGTTGTAAGAGAAATAATGAATAAGCTTGATCATCAAACAATGTAATAACCATCATATATATGCAAACTTAATCACATAAAGAGAACACCAACTGGAAACAATTCTTACATTAAAACATTAATAGAAATTGGGTTCACAGGAATGCAAATAAAGATTCATCAACAGAAACAAAGCAACATCACTCTCTTCAAACAGGAATAAAAGTAGCATGACTCCCTTCAAACATGAAAACAATAAGATGCTAACATCCTATCTATGAAGACGTGACTCTTTTCCAAACTCATACTTGAGATACTTGACTTTTTTTGCATCATCCTTTAAGCTCATAAAAACCTGTCTATTGTCTATCTTTTCCTTCAAATGAGAGATTGCAAAATAGTACAACATTTCGTCTTCCACAATCTCAGGTATGGTATCCAATATATCTATGAGGTCCTTGTAAGGACCGACTACATTGGTGGTTGCTTGAGATGTGGCAGTGGCATTGCTCCTACTTTCAACAGCTGCAACTAGCCTGTTAATTTGCGTCCCAAGCTCTTCTCTTGTGCTCAATTTCTTATCTTTTTTTCCTCGAGCTTGCCTTGTTGAAGTTTGAGCGGCTCTTTTCCGGCTTTGAGCTCCAATTGGTTCACCAATGGTTTCATCTACATGACCCTCCAAATTTTCATCAGTAGATCCTGCAACATCATCGATACCAGGTTGTGTGACCTCAACATCATTATTAATACATAAGCCTTGCCCAGGATTTCACGTGACTCCTCCAGTAGCAACTGTATCTCTAAACATCATATCTAACTTCTCTCCAAGATCAGGATGTATGCCTTTCATCCTAAAAGCCTTAAACTTTGGATTGACCTGTTATCATAAAGCATTTGTGTAAGTTGTATCCTTGAAGATGATCCAGCACAAAAGTTAAAAAAAGAAGTGATGAAAACCTGAATTTTACTCTCCCACCATTCGTCACTCGCATCAATGGTTTTCTTCCTTGAATCCCAACCTAGTCCTGTTTCATTATAAAGCAATGACCTCCATCTTTTCCATTCTTCCTTGAGATTATCCCACTTACTCTTCATTTTATTCTTATCATACTTTTTTCCTGTTAGCTCCTCAAACTTGCTAATTATGACTGCCCATCCATCTCTTTTGTTGCTTGCAGGACGATTGCCTCTTTTAATTTGTTCAATGCACAACTTACAAAAGGTTTCTACATCTTCCGAGCTCCAAAATGCCTTTTCCTTCGATGAACTTGCCATCTACTAGTATAGTAACATGAACAAATTTGGGAAGCAAAAACAAACAAGATTAACCATGAACAAATTCGAATGAAGACATGCATTTCTTAACACACAGATAACCAATCAACTCACATATGTTCGTTACATAACCAATTGAACATAATTAGTGAATAACATAACCAATTGAACAAAAAAAAGGCAACATGCTGTGTTATTCATACTCAAAGGATTACTCCCGCTATGAATCCAACTGTAATGAATGCAACTGTAAATCACAAAAAAAAAAACAATCATACTTTTCGACAAATTTACACGTATTGAATTTCCTCTATTATGAGTACAACCCAACATGTTGTGTTATGAGAGTCGAGTCATTATGAACTTTGATAATAAAAACCTGGATCAATTAGCAAAAGAAATAGAAGACAAAATCTGGGTGGTACAACATAACTGCCCTAATCTAGGAAATGCGAGAAACAAGCCACTATACATCCACTAGATATACCCCCCAAGTGCATGCTCTGTTCTGAGTAAGGCCCATGCTCTGTTCAGAGAGCCGAGTCATCATGGAGATTGAAAACAAAAACCTGGATCAATTCACAAAAAACAAAAAAGAACAGAGGAAAAAATTTGGGTAGCAACAAGTTCGCAATTAGAATAGAGGAATTCTGCAACTTCTTCCAAATAGAACAACAATGGATTACGGAACGGTCAAATCTTACAACCAGATCCTAAAAGAAAAAAAATGAAAGAAAGCTAGAACAATTTTTGGACTTGGGTTGCGTGTTCAGCCAAAGGTTTTAGAGCTAGGAAGACAAAATGATATTAGACCTGATAGGATTGTCAGATAAAAACACGAAATGGCAGAATGTAAGAAGCCTATGTCTATGTCTGTAGTCTTCATCTCATCCCTCTGAATCATAATTGGGCTTTACTGAAGGATAAGGCCACTGCTGGTGAGTACTGCCCAGCCCCTTTTACCACAGAAGGAAGGACCACCATCCGCTAAAAAGCTGAGTCGGAGGTGGCTTCTTCGACCTTCAGAGGGAATGTCAAAGGGAAGTTGTTCTTGGTCCACCAAGAACCGACTGATGAAAAGGACTATACAAGCACCAAAATGCCGCAACAAGTTACCTCTTAGGCAAAACAAAGGAACAACAAAATGCAAAAATTTCTGTAAAACATATGGAGCCCAGAGCCCAATTGTTCCCCACTTAAGAACAGAGGAAAAAATTCCGTAATCCATTGCCTCAAATTACCTCTTACGCAAAACAAAACGGAAAACCCTAAAAACATATTTAAGACTATACAAGCACAAAAATCACGAAATGCACAAATTCCATGGTGATTTCACCAGGGAAGAAAGGATAAAACCTCAAGGATGGCCACAAAATGCGTAGATCTAATCAATCAAAAGCACATCCACCGGGGAGAGAGAGAGACAAACCTGTAGTTGTGCGAGGGAACGAGCGAAGTGAACCACCAAAGCGAACGAGCGAGCGATCCGTTTGAAGAAGAGCGAAGCAACCAAAGCGAGCGATCCGTCCGAAGGAAAGTGAAGCAACCAAAGCGAGCGAGAGAGGCGAGCAGTTCCGCGCGAGAGTGAGTCAACAATTGAGAGTGACAAAAGGCAAATGGGAGAGCGAAGAAGCAGAATGCTAGAGACTGCTGGGTTTTGTTTTTTAAAATGGGCAAAATCGGACTTTCAACAAAATTTTGAGGGCAAAATAGGCAACTGACAAAAATTCATTAAATGGTGGAAGTTGCATCCCGAAAATGCTGAAAAGCCCAAAGCACCTCCCAACCTGCTTTGGGCTTTCAGCATCCCAAATGCTAGCTTTGGGCTTTCGGTATCTTAAAAGCAATTGCCAAACGGTTCAGCATTTTGGGAAGGGGCTTTCGGCCTCGAAAGCCCCTTCCCAAAGCTGAACCAAACGGGGCCAAGATGAAGCTATTCAACTTGTGAAAAGCAAACTCCTTAGAAATCCCATTTATAGCAAGAAAAGATCACAATTCTAAAGACGGGATGAACGGAAATTCATGCCGGCTATAATTACATGATTCTGATACACAAGGAGTTCAGTTGCTCTCTGCCCAGGGCCAATGCCGACCCGAGAAAATAATAAATTTGCGATAATTACATAAATAATCTCTAAACTTTGACTCAATATATAATATCATCCATAAACCTTTAATTTGTTCAATATGATCCCTGAACCTTATTTAAATAAGTAATGTTATCCCTGAACTTTTTATATGTCAATATGGTCCCTGGACTATTAGTAATTGTTCAGTCTTGAATAAATTTAAAGCTCATGAACGACATTACACATTTGGTCAATTATGAACTATTTGTGCCATTTTCCCTTTTCCAATTCATGCACTCTCAAGTCGATGCTTTTGGTGAATTTTGTGAAGAAGGAGATAAATTTCGAGTAGGGTCTCTACAATATCATTTTTTTTATCAGTAATTTGTACAATTCTTCAATAGTGCAGATATTGTATAGAACCCCATGTTTTATTACAGGACTCAAAGCGAATCTTAAAAATTTGATTTGTGAAGGATTAGATCGGGAAAATAACGGTCTTTGCATCGCCTAAGAAGATAGGTCGGCGGAAAATACTTTCGTTGTTAATGGAAAATGTTCAAGCATGGATTGTTATGACGATGCAAATATTTTTCATTGACTAATATTTCTACATAATAGAAACAGTTTGTTTTAGGAAAATATTGCTCAAATCATGTAACTTATCGTGTAACACAATCGGCTTAATCCAATCGAGTGAGCCTACGCAACGTTTGCTAGCAAAAAAAACAAATGATGGTTGGCTCCATAGCGGTGCAATGAACTCACTCGCCTACATATCGTTAGAACAGTAGTTCAAGAATGCCTGGTCCGGAGATCGAGTTGTCTCTTCATACTTTACTGTTTATCTTCACTGCAAAGTTTGGCGCAAATTTCATCAACTTGCCTCCCATAATGATCGGAACCTGCTACTTTTACACCCGAACTAGAATGAATGGTAGCTGAACGTCGGTGTGCTCAGTCTGAAAAAAAAGGCATATGCTGCTCGAATAAAAGTAGACTCAGATGGACGACCCAGCATTATTCATAGTGGCAATAGTTTCTGTGGATCACGATTCAGATGGGTTTCGCTCCATGAAAATGCGTGATGCCAATGTAGTACAATGACACACAGGAAAGCACAATCACACATAAATTCAAGGTCGACATAGATCATTGACTTGAGGCTCTGCCCTTTTCAAGTGCTCGAGTGAACTTCTCCAAATACCGGAGTTGCAACTCCACGTTGCCAAATATCTCCCTCATTGCCCACGCGTTCGCCCTCAGCTCCTCTCCCTCCGGCTCCACCATGACCCGCCTTATCGTCTCCGCTACCAAGTCGCTCGTGAACGACCCGTCTCGGGCATCCCTCGGCACTTCCGACCCTACCCGCCTCTCGTCCATCAGCCTCGCCACCAGCCCTAGGTCCGAGCTCCCCCCAGAAAACAGGATCAGCGCCCGGCCCTGCCCGAGTGCCTCTATGACCGAGCTCCACCCGCAGTGCGTCAGGAACCCGCCGACCGACGGGTGAGCCAGGATGTCGAGCTGAGGAGCCCAACCCACCCAGACGAAGCCTCGACCCGACACCCGACTTTCGAACCCGGAAGGGATAATGCCCGGGCCGGCCTTTCGGCCTACCACCCAGACGAAGGGCAAACCTGACCTTTCCATCCCACACGCCAACTCGTGCATGAACTCTTGACTCAGAGCGACCTCGGTGCCGAGGGCGACATAGAACACCGACTTCTCTTCCCTATCATCCAACCATTGCTTTAGCTCGCTCCATCTCCCGTCTCCTTCGCGGCGGCTTTTATTCTGGGGCGGCAAAAGCCCCATTGGAAACACAGGTCTCGCGTGAAGCTTCTTGAGGAGACTCAACGGCTCGGCCTCGAACTCGCTACAGGTCCTCACGGCCACGATTTCGCAACCCTGTACCAACTTGCCATACCTTTCGAAAACCGACATGTTAGAGTCAGAGTCCACGAGATCCTCTTCCTTAATCACCTCATGAAGCCTGAACGCGACTTTGGTGGGGTAAGTAATCCACTCGGGAACGAACGTCAAGTCCTCCGCCGTCTTGGCCCGGGCCTGACTGTCGATCAGAAGAGATGGCGGGCCAGCAAAGACGAGGGTGCTAGCGTTGAATATGCTGAAGAACGCCGATTTAACACCGAGTCGTCTCGCCACTTGGGGTAACCAGAAAGACATGAAGTCTTGGATCACCCAGTCAACGTCCGAGTTTGCAAGAAACTCGGCGACAGCTGGCTCGAGCATGTCGTATGCCTTCTTCAGGTAAGGGACCATGTTATGCGGCAACTCGGAGGTTGACTCGGCTGAGTCGGGGAGGCCATGGATGCGAGGCAAGAGAAGCTCAACGAGGGTTATCGAAGGAGAGAGGTTTGTGGGGAGTTTTTGGAGGTTTTTGGGGGTGGAGATGAAGGAGACGCGGTGACCCTTTTGAGCTAAGAAGGTGGCGACCTCGAGGAAGGGCATGATGTGGCCGTAAGCGAGCCATGGGAACATCGCTACGTGAAGCTCCTCTTTGTTGTCCATGGTGGTGTCTACGAGCTTTACTTTTTATTTGATGGGCGTGTAGTGGGACTTCGTGTGACTTGAGAGTGAATTTGCACGCAATGGAGAATGAGCTCTCCCTTTATTTATGGAAGGAATGTTTAGAAGGCCCCCGCTGAAATATTTCGCCCTGTTTTGACTTGGTCAAATATAGTGACTGAAAAAAAAATGGACAGTTCAACACAAGGAGAGCAAAGTGGACGGGAAATGATGGGGCACGCACAGAGAAGAGAAAAGGAAGAAGAAAGGGAAAGGAAAAAGAGAATGGGTTTCTCGCGCATACACTTCGAAGATGTCGTTAAACTAGATTAACTTTGTCTCGTAGCATCCGGTAAGGATTCGAACCATTTGTTTATCTAATGGGAATAATTATCGGGTTAGGTCATAAAGTTATAATTATGTAAATAGTTCAGGTCGTTTTGGAGCCATCAAATTTAATGGAAGTCGATTTCAAATTACGGTTTGATCGAAAAGAATATTCAAAGTTTCGTGCCTAAGCTCCGAGTAGTGGATATATTTGAATATATGCTTTGGACGAGCATTTTATTATCACGTTTTGTCAACAATTAAGCTTAGATGAGTCGATTCCTAGTTGAGGTAGCGTTTTACTAGATTTTGATATCGCTTCTTGGTTAATTGATATCATTGCGAGTTCGTCGACTCGAGTAATCTTTATGGTCTGGTTTAGGCATTTTCTAGTGAGTAGTATTTATCTCTTTTTTGAATTTAAAAATTCATATTTCGAATGTGGTAAGGATTAAAGAGCATACTTGTGGCATAAAACTTGATCAGGCGTAGGGGTAAGCATGGTTCTTGGGTAGAATCGAGAATCGGGGAACTGGACCCGTGGGAACCGGTCCGGTTCTAGGTTCCAATGCCCCCGGTCCGGTTCCCACCGAACCAGGGTAACCGAGAAATGTAATGTGTGCATTGCCTTGCATGCTTCTCCGAGCGCTTTGTGCATGAAACAAGTCAATGGTCTTCCTTTTAAAGGTCTGCACATGGCCTTTTCTTTGCTCCTAAGGGTGTCAATCTCCAAGAAGAATGAGAATTCATCAATTCCCCATTCTAAAGCTTCTTGGTCATCCTTGCAGTAATATATCCCGTCCAACTAGCCTTAGCTTCTCCACGTGAACTTGGCCGCTGCAAAACTCCAATGAGAAAATCTTGTACTGTTACTCGGTTTTTCCAAAATTGCTTTTAAAGACTCAACTCGAATTTTCACCTAAGGCCCAAAATCAGTTTCAGCCATGTGATCCCCTTGCAAGGTGACATGCACATGAAACAAATTTCAGCCAAATGATGCCGTTGCAAGATTATCAGCACGCAATGGGATTTGTAAATGAAGCATAAAGAGGCAATAAACAGGTGCCTGAGAGGTGGGGACGACCTAACCTTAAGAAAAGTGACAAGACCACAATAAATGTTTAAAAATGAGGATGGCTCTTGATGTTTTTCTACTTATAGATAGAACTTAACGAATCATCTTCAAAATCTAAGTAGTCTCAATATGTTAACATGTATGGCGATAATCTAGATTTTAATCTATCACTTACTTTAATTATAGGAACGCCTTCTAGTTATATTCTGTTATTGTTGTGTATGTGTGAAATTGATATATCAAGATAACATGTCAATGAAGGTGGAGGGATGTGAGGAGATGACTCTGATCACAGAATCGAAATCGTCAGGTGATGAGGTGAAGAAGATTCATCCCCGACCGCGAGCGTGACAGACAAGGTACTTTCATTTTTGTTGTTGCTATTGACAAATGAGAAACTTCCATTTTGTTGTTGCATTCACTTTCCTTTTGTTTAACTAAAAATGAATAGAAAAAAAAAACCTGTTAGACTCTGGAACTGACTTTAGAACCTGTGACAGA